GCATCTTCACATTTTCCCCTTTTGGAGCATGGCAGGAATTCCTGACCCTAGGAATGAGCCACAAGGCCAGGATCTGCTCCCTACCCATCCTGGCTATTTCCTTATCTCCATCATGAGATGACTTTTGATTTGAGTAGTCAGGGCAGAAGAACCACTGATAATCAGACTTCTAGAACCAGTCATAGAGGTTGCTGTGCATCCTTTTGGCTCCCACTTTTACCCATTCATTACCACTACAACCAATGTCACAGCTCCTGCCATGGCTGCCCTGTGAATTCCCACCTTCTTTCCTGAGCCAGTTGGACTTGATGTGTGGGACTGCGGATGGTTATAGGAATCCCAAGCCTTGAAAACATGACCTGGAAGTGCATGAGAGTCAGCATCCCTTGGAGTCAATTTTGTTTGACGAGGATGGAGGCTGGTGGATAATTTTGAGATGCAGCATATGAGACTTCTCAGATGGTCCCTGCAGATCAATCACCATTGGTCAACCTGGCTGACCATGGTGATCAAGAAACAGCATCCTTATGATGGCTTCCCTCCTTCCCCATTTCACTGTCCCAGCCCCCCTTTCTGGTATCAGTTCTGAAACTAAATTCACTGCATGCAAGCCCTTGTCTCTCAAGTTGTGCTTTAGAAAAGAGCATGGAGAATCCAGGCTAGTTTTTTAAAATTTTAAACTGATTAAAGTATGCTCAGGAAGGTCAATATTGCCACATAATGTATCCCTAATTGATACATTCTTGATTCATCCATTTGAAGGGAACATGGTGATTGTGGAAAAGGCCATGAAAAAGGAGATACAGGTTCCAGTTTTGTCTGTAATTACTTTATGTGAGCCAAGCTACACTATTTAACCATTTGAACCTCTGCACCTGATCTTCAAAATAAAGGAAATGAATTGGATGACATCATTTGTAAGATCTCATCCAGTTCCACGATCACACATTCATGCAATAAAAAAGTATCTGGGTGACAGTGTGGAGTAGCTACTTCTCCCCTCACTAAATGAAGGGATTGTTTGGGCTAAAAGTATAGCAATACTTTAAGACAACTTTAGACAGGCAAGTAAATCCGTTCCCTGAAGGTCTAGATTAGAGAATGAACCTCAAAAAATAATAACGCTGACAGAAAGAGAGCAAAGCAGCTCTTTGTGAGTCAGCAAAGATTAGCAGGGCTGTAGCATTAAGATAAGAATAAAGTAATGAGAAGATGACGTAAACCAACCTCCTGGACAGCATTCCAGCTGTCACTCACCCTAACAGGGCCGCTTGATAAATGGACTCCAGGGGTTGAGATTTTTTCTCTGTAAAAGTTACTTGGAAACTTGGTTTGGGAAAATGTTTCTACTTTGAGAAAAATAACACAAAATCCTGCAAGTGTCAGGGACAAGAAATAAAAACATTAAATGGATATAGGCTTTCCATAAATCCCAAATCAAGGAGCCTCAATCCTGAAAAAGATGAAAGGTCATGAAAGTGAGACCCAAGAGTCACAAAACATGCAAGACAAATAGGTTTATAAAGCAAATGAGGTTGTTGATGTCACCACTTGTTAAGAGATTTAAGATATATAAGGTAGTTATTGATGTTTTCTCCATTGTATACACAAAGAAACAAGATTCAGAGAGGTAAACAATACCTCATAATACACATAGATAGTTAGCAGTAGAGTTGGGATTTTTATCTTTTTGAGTATGTATTTGGATGCTAATTAAAATTTATATTTATCAAAGTAGTGTATGTACGTGGTTAACAAATCTAATAGCACTTAAAGGTCTATGATGAAATGTAGCAGCTTTCCATCTTGCTGCCTTTTGTTCTTTGATTGTGTTTTCCAGTGCTTTATTTTGACTTTTTTATTTTTACCATTTTGTTTTTAATTTTCAAGAGCTCTTTCTTCTTCATGGTTGCTCCTATGATTATCTTTTAAAACATCCTGTTCTTGCTTCATGGATGCAAAAATCTTACTTCCTCAAGGATATCAATAGGGTCTTTTTTTTTTTTTTCTTTTGTTTCCTCTGATTTTCTTTTTCTTTTTCTTTTTTTTTTTTTCTGTGTATTTGGCCCTCTGTTTCTCATAATGGAGTCTTATAAAATGTTCTATGATCCTTGTCTGTTTGTGTGTAATGATCAGGAATTGAAAGGCTAAGTAGGAGTGTGTGTGTGTGTGTGTGTGTGTGTGTGTGTGTGTGTGTTAGGACTGCTAGATAAAACATAGGAAGTCCAGTTAAATTTGAGTTTCAGATTAAAAACTATTTTAAATATATTTCCAAAATTTCATGGGACATATACATGTATACACACACACACATATCTACTAGTCAATGTTTATCAGAAAATTTAAATTTAACTGTGCCTTCTGTGTTTCTAGTTGTTAAATCTGAGGGTGTAGTTCATGGTGACTGGGCTCTGGGCTACGTATTTTCAGTTCAGAGACTGAATCCCCTATTCTGAGCACCACATCTTATTCTCATTCTTTACTTCTCCTTAGTCCAGAGTTCTTCATTTCATTCCTCCGTAGAATAAACCTCCGGCCATCTCCAGGCATCAAGGAAAGTAGGCTTACCGAGTCATGTTGGTAGAGGCCTTCATGGGCACTGAGTGTCCGATGAACTTGACTTTCTTGGCAATCTCCTTGCCTTAATAGAGTGTCACATCTACTTTTCATAGTACCTTTTGTTCTATGCCCCAGGCAAGGTTCTGCAGGGTGAACTGGCTTGCTCCTGGGACTGCTCCTCCCCCGTGGGTCTTACCCTCTGTTTCTACTCTGCTAGGTCAGCTACTACTCACTGGCCTGCCTTCCATGTTCCACAAATCTCCTGTTAGTTGTTGTGTGTCTGCTTTCTTTCTCCTTGCAGATTTATACCTTTAAAAATTATTTAGTATCATTGTAGTGGAGTTTTTGGAGGGAGAAGATATAGACAGTTGGCTCAATCTGCCAGGTTTAACTAGAATGTCAGAGTGAGATTTAAATCCAAGTCAACATAACTCCAAAGCCTGAACTCCTCCCACTATGCCATGTAATAATTCATTTAGCAGAGTCCAAAAATAAATGCCTCTGGCATAGTCTGCTCTGCCACAATATCCCTCCTTCCTGTCTTCTTTAGTAACAGAATTCCTGGTTTTTAGCTGGCACATGACTCCTCAGAATGAAGAGTTCCTTTCCCAACTTTCCTTGAAACCAGGTATGGCCAAGTGACTAAATTCTGACTAGTGAATGTAAGTGGAAGTGTTATGTGGCAAATTCCAGAAATCTCTGTTAGAAGATCTATTGCAATTACTCTTTCCTCTCTCCCTTTCTTCTTTGTCCCTTCTTTCTTTCTGTTGGCTGAAATGTGGACTTTGTGGTTGGAGCTGAAGCAACTATCTTCGACTAAGATGTGAACAGTGTGTTGAAGCTGGTAGCCAGAGATAAAAGGTTGCTGAAGACTTCATACAACCACTGCACCAATTGGAAATTGCTGATGTCCAGCGTTCTTTCGTGTGACAGAGAAGTAAGTCACTGCTGCTTTGGGTTTTCTGTTTCTTGCTATTTGAACCTAATTATAACTAATGAAATGCCAAAGTGCAGTAAGATTTCAAAGGCAAGTCTTGACACAAGACTACCTGGAAAAAGTAGAAGAGATAAAACTTAAAGGCTGGTCATTTCATCCAGATGAGGAAGTGGAGGGACAGGAGGGTGACATGAGTGGGGTTGAAGGGACATGACATAATGTTTTGAAGGATAGCACATAGGCAGGGCTCGTTGAAGCAGACAGATCCCGTAGGGGAGAAATAGAAGACAAGAATGAAAATGTATGGCAAACAGATTATAGAAGGCCTTGAAAAGCAAGCCAAATTCAGAGCTTTCTTAGAAAGCAATGAAGGCACTGAAAGGTTTTGAGACGGAAGGTGGAGATACATTTCTATAAAGTCGGGGGTGGGGGTGGATGGAGTAAAGCATTTCAGAGTCTCCTCCATTCATGTAATACCTGTGTAAAGGTAATACAGAAATGAGGCCAGAGAAGTAAATCTGAATAGAGAAAGAAGAATGTGAGTTCAAGGACTCAGAGACAGAAACAAGAAGAAAAGAAACCTCCAAAGGATCTAGAAAAAAGGGAGATAGCAGCTAGATATTGGGGAAGCAAAGAGAGTAGAACCTGACAATGAGAAGTCAGTAAATCTTTTGATATCTTAAATGAAGGTAGAAAATATCAGAAGTCATTTGTGGCCACTGACAGTACAATTTTGATAGAATGTGGAGGTGGACTCTGCTGTTCAAAGTGTAAATGGGTAAAAATAGAGGAACTTGCCTTATTTTTACTGACTATTTTTTAAATAAAGGCAAACTGAGAAGCAAATAGACATATCCAAGGGGTCAAATGAAATAATTTTTTAAGGGAGAGAAGTTGATTGGTCTTTAAGTTAGGAGAGGACCATATATATTAGTGAAGGAAAACGTTTTCAGGCTACCAAAAGAGGGGGCTTCTGATGGGGCATGTCTCACTGGGAATGGGAGGGATAGGATTTTCTGCTCAGAGAGAAGCATGAACTGTGGAGATAAAGGGGACAGCTCTTCTGAGAACAAGAAATAGAAGAGAAACAAGGAATGGAGGCCTGTATTTCTAGTCAACCTTCCATCAACAAATACTTATCATCATCATTGTCTTAATCACTGTCATTATCATCAAAGCCATTTATTGATTTGAACAGAAATAATAGTCTAAAATAACACTCTTAGGCAGTATCTAAAATAAAAATGTTTAGAGACAAGTGTTTCAAATAAGGCTCAAAACCCAAGAAAGGTAAAAATCTTGCAATTGTAGCCATGAATCTTTTGGTTATAACACCACCTTAACAAGCTTCATTTAGATAGGGGAAAACATTAAAAATGTAGTCCTTTTACACATTGATATAAATGCTAGAATAACAGGCAACCCCCAATATGGACCTGAAAATTAATTATAAGCTGGAATTTTAGATATCCATTTGTCAAATAGATCAAATGCCAATACTTACTCAAAGTATAGCGTGAGGTCTGTTGCTAATATTGACTGCTTCAAAAGCTGCATAAGGTCACTGTATTCCTTGGAGGACAAATTAGCAAAGATGTTGTGACCCTGTAACGAGAAAGTAAAAAGTCACATAACACATCATTAAATCTGCAGTGGATGTTTGCATGTTTTTCCTATATTTAAAAAAAATCTGGGAACATGATAAAATCATTTCTAAAGCTTAATAATAATTATGATTTTTTTTTTTTTACAAACACAAACAGATTCCCTGGGAAACAAAGTAAAGTCAGGAAGTGAACTGTTTTTCATAGAGGAGCAGTGTGGAAGGGAAAACTGAAAAATGTTTGAACTTGTCATATTGTATGTTATATGCCAACAAATCCACCTGACTGCCTGTTTCCTATGGAAGTACACAGTAGAGAAGTGGGCAAAACATTTGGGAACTTTTTGGCCCTAAAATAAATATTAGTTCCACTATTTAAGGTTTAACTGGCATTCTAGAAGTGCTTGCTATGGGGACAGGTGACATCAAGGAGGAGAACTAGCCAATAGACCAGTGGTTCTCAGTTGGTGATGATTCTGACAATGGGCAAATATGGCAATGCCTACACACATTTTTGATGGTCAGGATGGGTGGGAAGCTTCTGGCATTTAATGGGAGAGCTGTGGGATGCATCCTACAATGCACAGGAAACTCCCGCAACAAAGATCTACCTGGCCCAACACATCAGTACTGCTGAAGAGGAGGAACTCTGAATTAAACTGTTAAGATACACTTTGATGAAGGATGTGGTAGATTAAATTCTGTACAGTGAATGGTTACTGAACAGCTAGGATGAGTAAGGACTGCTCTTGGCACAGTAGGACTCTAAGAATGACTTGTACCTAAGAAAAGATGCAATTACAGCTGTATCTCCACACCTTTGAAAAAGCATCCTTGTTTTTAATCCACATTTGTTTAAGCTATACTATTTGCTTTTAGTAAAGTGAAAAATACTTTCATAATGTGACGATTATTCACTGAATTTGCTTGGAAAGTCAGGACTTTTTATTCTTACATTTTTAGCTAAAAAAACTTTTCAGGTTTTCTTAGCATAAAATATCAACCCATAAAGCACGTGTTCTGGGAACTGAACCAAATTTAATTCAGGGTGAGAGCCAGAGATGGTGGAGAAGAAAGGGGGCAAATGACTGCCTGAGAATAAACTATTCTCCAATGAGAGGTAAATTAATTTTTTCAGGGAATCAGAATATTAATTAGCAAATTATCTCTTACCAGGCATCAGATGATAATCTCCCCTGAGTTAATTTCTCTCATTGGGTGAACCTGCCACTCCTTATAGACTCGAGTATATCGGTTCCTCCTGGGACCAGGTCCAATATTAATAATAATTTTCAAATGAACTGTTGTAGACCCTTAATTCAGTCATTAGCAAGAAGACAAAAAAAAGTAAAGGAATGCTGTGTCATAATTCTGCTCAGGTTTTTCTGCCTGAGCATCACCCCACAGGTCAGTCAGGAGCAGGTATTCCAGGGCCTAGGAAAAAGTGCTTAGAAGCTATGAAGAAATGGTCACCTAGATCCAGCCAAACACCCAGTACCACTCAGTGAAAGAAAGATAGCCTTGAGGAGTAAGTTACAGTAGAAATTAGCATTCAGGTCTGAACTTGAGGGTTCTGGTTATTGTGGTAAGGTGTGAATTTTCTGTCTTGTAAAGGACATGAAGTAACTAACACTACTTCCAGGGAATACACTGACAAAGCTCAGCAGATCAATTTCAATTTTAAAAAAAGTTAATTTTCATCAGTGCATTGTTTATTTGCAAATTGGCCTTGCACATTGCCTCAAGGCTTAGTACCTGACGTAGAGTTGAGACAACCTGAAATATTGCTTTTACCTTTCTTTAAGGAAGTATGGTTAAGTGTGGAACTGATGAAAAGACAAGAGAATTGGAGGGAGAAAGGTCTGGGGCAAGCTCACTCAAGCCACCTAGCCTTTCTGCACCTGTGGGTTATTTGGAACGTGGGCTGGCAATTACACCTGCATTTCTGCCTTTGTGATGGGCAGGACAGGAGGAGACGTGGGGGTAGTGCTGCACATAGCAGGCACTCAGTGCCTGGTTCCATTGTCAGTGGTCTCTGTTTCTCAGAAGAATCCAGAGTGAAGGGCAGCCAATGTGTCATGTTTTTATGGGCACAAATTCTGAGAGTGGGAGGTTGTTTCCCCCAGGAGATTTGACATCCTGTTTATAATCCCCATTATTACTAGGTGGGGCTTTCTGGGATCAGAAGTGGAAACTCATCACATTTGCCAGAAAAGATAGTCTGAACCAAAGTACTTCCTGTCACTACCTTCCTCTTCTACGGTTCTCAGCTAAAATGTGGCTTTCATAGGAAAATTCCAGAGCCAGAGATGCCAGGATGCTGGCTTCTGCCTGTTCCTGAGCCCTTTCCCCTGGGTGCTTCATGAATGGAAAATATATCACATTCTCCTCCCCAGCTCACCCTCATCCTTCCCCAGCTTGCATTCAGGATCCAGACTGGCAATTCTGGGGTTGAAAGTTTTTATGATATTGCAAAAGACAAGCTTTCTCAAGAGAGGCTGAAGGAAAAAAACCCTCCATATTTAATGATGCTATTCCAGAGAAGCAGGGCCTTAATGATGATAATAATAATAATTAATGGCACAGCTAGAGAACTGACAAATAATGGGGAACAGATGATCCCTTCCTGGCTTCAAGAAGAAAAAACGGAGTCTCTACGCCTGCAGAAAATTAAACAGATCCTTTCCTGGCAAGTTAAAACTCAGACACCTCAGCCAGAGACAGTTCGTAGTTTCTGTTTTCTCTGTGGAAAGCAAAAAGTATAAAATTCCAACTACTTCTAACTCCTGCATTGCCACAGGAAGCAAAATAAGACATATGGCATTAGCCCTGGGCCTTAGGTCTAGTTGCACTTCTCTCTTTCAAACTGGTCCCACCAGCAGTTTTAAGTTCCTTTATCTTTCATAAGATTCTTGATTGTACTAGTAAAGTGTAACTTTCTCACCCTGTTTTTGCTTCTACCATCTTTTTAAATGGCTCTGGTTTCACAAAATGGGAGTGTTGAGCCACTTAGTCCTTAGATCAACTCATTCCTTTAACTGGGCTTCTCAAGGAAGGCAAGATGGCACTCTGCCTGGGGTTAAGCAGTCTATGCCTGTTGCCTGTAAGTGAATCTGCAAAGCCTCCAAACCAATAATGAAACCAAAGGAATCAGTTCAGGAATAACTGGAGCAGATCCTTGGTCAGGCATCTAAAAAATTCAAACAAGCCACCAAAGCCCAATAGATAGACTTAAACATGGTCTTCCATGTCTCTGTATCTGCCTGTGGTAGATACAAAGAAAGAAAGGCAGGAATCATATAGACAGTCTTCTGTCATCAGAAGTGGAGCAGGTCGTACCTCACTTTGAAGGATCATCACAGCATGGTTAAAATGGTGATGCTCTAAGGTAGCTGAGGTCCCATAGAGTTGGGCCAGTGCAGAGCCACTCCTGGAAGAGGACAGAAGGCTTAGTGAGTAGGGCTCTTTACCTTGAACATCCCTTATACCAGCTCTTTATACCAAACTGCTTTTCCTGCTTTTGAAAGAGGACCATGAGCAGATAACTACTTGGATGGTTCATTCATCTCTTAAGTAAACATTTCAGGAACTTTTTATGCATTAGGCTGGATACTATGGAAGGCACATGATTAATAAGGATAGTCCATGCCTCTTAAGAAATTTACAAACTAGTAAGTGAGATGAGATATGATCTTAAGAAAAAATAATGCAAGCAACAACAATACATTACAATACAACACAACAATACACAAATGCACTGCAGAGTAGTGTTTCAAGTCCACTGTAAGTGTTGTTGGTGTAGATGTAACTCCTGGCTCTGGGATCACTGTAGGCTTCATGAACTCAACCTTATCTATCTTCCAAGTGTCCGTAGCAACTCTCTTATGCTAAATGTGCTTGATTTTCTATAGGAAATGACCTCATGCAGAGTCCACTTTGTCTACTTTATATGTAAGGTCAACAACTTTCTGTGGTTTCCCAGCCCACAGTCACACTGATAGCTCAGGGTTGCAGTCTGAAGAGTTCCCTGGATGTGGAGTCAAGTCTCAGCTGTTCCTCCACTACCACTTTGAGCAGTTACTTGGCCTCTTTAGGGCTCAGTTTCTTCATCTCTAAAATTATGATAGTACTATCTACCTTACCTGTTGTTTATGAGACTATAATAAAATATTTGAATGTGCTTGACATGGAGTAGATTTCAGTCTACAGTAATTATTAATCAATAATTAACACATATCTGGTCATTTACATTTTAAATCAATAAAATGTTGAATGATAACTTTGAGTTATCTATAAATTTTTTGATAAATTTGAGTTATCTGTAAATTTCACTTATGTAGACCAACTCATATCTCAACAATATCAGTTCAATATAAAGGAGAATGATGGAGGGGGTGAATTAAACTATGAATGATACATTGTCAGAACTTTTGTAAATGTCACAATGTACCCCCTGGTACAACAATAATTAAAAAAAATGTTCAAACACATTTACAACTGTCTTTTTGGAGTAGGAGTTGGAGCATCTTAGGGTCCAAAAGAGACCCAGAGAATACCTTGGATTAATGGGAAGTTCTGGGACCCAGGCTGAGAGTCCAGTCATTTCCTTGTGTTCTTTTCTTGCTCATTGCAGGAGTTCAGACATTACTACGTTAAGACATTACTTAATGTAGTAATGCTGGAGATTGACAACATATAGCCTGTCCCTGTTAGTGAGAGGACAAAAGGCTGCATCTCAGTGCAACATGAAGAATTTTGGTCTCAAGCTACCCCACCTCCAGTTTGAGGCATTCCAAGGCCATGGTCAGGTCTGTGGTTACAGAGAACCTGAAATCCTTGGAAAGACTCAGAACTGACCACATGGTGGGAAAAACAGCAAGGTTAGGTTTAGCAAGGATTATGAAGAAGAGGGTTAGTAAGGTGAGCAGTAGGTTTTAATTAGGTATGTGTTATTTCTTTATGTTTTGCCTTAATCTACATCATCTAATATGTAAATATTTGTTAGGCCAATCTTGATGGTGAATTAGTATTTATGTTAGTTACTACTTTACATAAAGTTCATTTCTATGAAAATACAGATTTTAAAATGCACATCATATGCCTTTATCTTGGCTGTTGAAATTCTGCATATCTGACATGGGGTAGGTGTTTATAAGATTACTTGCTTGGCTAATAAGCTTATAGTGGTATGTCTAGAGATTACAGTTAAAATTGAAAGATTGAGAGTAATAAGTATATCATCATATTTTATAATAATAATATTACTAATAAGAATAGCTACTATTAGTAAGCGCTTACCATACCTTAGGAAACATATTAGCCACTTAATACATTATTTCATCTAGTTTTGATGACAACTGTGAGATATATATTATTTTCTCACTTACACATAAGGAAACAGAGACTCATAGAAGTTACATAACTTTTCTAAGGCCACACAGCTAGCTTGTATCAGTTCTAGGTTGGTATCCATTGTTTAAGCTTCTTCTCATTACACAGCAAGAATGATGATAACATACATTTCTGGTATTTGATTCTCCACTTTCATGAGCTGGTTGTGACCAATGAAAGATTTCAAAATTTAGTTAGAAATTCTACTAACTTCTAACCACAGGCTTGAATTCCTGTGGTTCATTTCTGTTAACCAGCCATGCTGAGATATGCCTCATTCATTGTGTGAATCCTGATAACAGAGTCACTGATAAGAGGTAGGGTCAAGATGAAAAATCGTATCTCTTTATTCACATTGGTTTAGCAGACCCCAGAAAAGTTAAATTGGGCTAGATGATTCCAAGTCATTTCAAATTTTCTTTGTGCAAGGTGAATAAGGAGATATTTCTTCCTTTAACCAGGGGATACATTATGGCAAGTATTCTGATGCTTCCTAGCTGTGTGTGTCTCCCTCTTTCCCGTCCACAAGCTTCCGATCTGCTGTGCTTTATCAGAGGGCTCTCAGGATGTTTGTGCCAAAGCAGCCTTGTGACTGTCAGTGGTGTGAGCTTCTTCCTCATCAGACTTCCTCTTTGTTCATTCCTACATTCTGCCTGCCCTATCATGGTACTGATTCAATTACAGAAAATATGTACATTTTACAACTGGACCAGATTAATGCTCTGAAAGTGTGGGAAGATATTGTGATTCATTTGTTTGTTAGTTAATTAATTCAACCAACAAGCATTGATTACTACTATTATGCCAGGCCTTAGGCATATGGAATACAGAGATACATAACACATGGCTCTTACCTTCCGGAAGGCCATGGTCCCTTATATCTGTGTTGAGGACTTTCTCTGACCTTCTATACACAGGTGCTAGCTTAACATCCAGAGAATGGAGGATGGTACTAACTCAACTCCTTTGAGTTTTCTACAGGAAAATCATCTAAGTAATACTTCCATTTCCAAATGGATACCTTATTTGCACTATTAGATTTGGTTCCCGTCAGAATTTCTAAGCTTTCCAAACCTCCCAGTATCCTCTCTCTCAGGCCAAGGCTCATTAAAAAATGAAGCCTATCCCTGCCATTACATTCTGTGAACATCCTAGGACCACCAAGAGTGAAATCCACAGTGATAAAATGATACCAGGGACAAAAAGTAAAACTATCTATTAGGATAAGATTTATCAAAAATACTAGTTCTTTAGAATGCCAAGTGGCTTGAAAGGCAGAAATACAAAGGGTTCCATGATCAAATAAGTTGGGCAAATTTGGCTTTAAAATTTTAAATTATTTCTATACTGTAGGTTTTCCCTAGAATGCCAATATGGGAAAATATGCATTGTGTTTCTTCAGGAGAGGAACATAATATGAAGAGCACAATCCACTCTTAGTTGCTCATAAAGACTTTTTTTTTTTTGCAGTACTGCGGTTTGAACTAGGCAGGCGCTCTACTAATTAGCCAGTCCACCAGCCCAATAAAGTCATTTTTTAGAAAGAGGCCATGTCTTTCATGTAATATACTTTGTATGAATGTATACTTCTACTTTTTTTTGTGTAAAATGTGAAAACCCCACCAAACTCATGTCAATACTATATAGAAAAAGTTGACTTTAACATCATATATAATTTTAATTCTTTGGTAAGTACATCTATCATATGAATGGTTTGGGGGAACACACTGTAGGTGTGAAAATAAGATTATGTATATATAGAGTGGGGGGAGGGAGGAAGCACTGTAACTTATATATATGATATTCATGATGTGCATTATTGATTAGGTCATCCCAAGTACTAAAGATTTTCATTTTCAGATAGGCACCCCGCTGAGGAGAAACTTACTAAAAAAAAAAGGCAAAGTGAAAATTCTATTTCTACAGCCATTCACTGCTTTTCACTGACACCAAAAATCAGAGTGCAAGTCAAAATGTACCTTCATAACTTCCCTAGATTTGCATATTCTTTGAGAAAAAGACTGAATGGAAATGTGCAGCCATGGCTTAAAGGAAACTTTAAAAAGGAAAACTATGGAAGGTAATTAGGAAATTCAGAATTGTTGGGAGGTGGTGTGGAAAGGGATTAGGCTGTCATGGCAGATTAATGTGAGCCAGTATTTCACTTCTGGGACCCAGCCGAAAGCGACAAGATGGGTTTTCATTCCCAAGAAATGAGTATAAGAGATTATGCTAGAAATGAATAGGAGTCTCCTAGGAGAATATACTACAAAGCTGCTTGGTACTGATATTTAATCACCAGGGGCAGCTGGACTAGAGAGGGGGATGAGTGGGGAATGTTGTCTCTGGAGAAAACAGGGGATAGGTGTGATCAGAGCGATTTCTGAGCACTGTGGCTTCGCTGTCCTCTCTACCTATTGATCATTCATTGCACGCATTCCAATACTTGAAAATTAAGAATAAAATATGAAAATGCAAAGGTTCACTTACCAGAAAGGCTAAGAGTATAAATCAAGTTGTGCTCTAACTAAAGTCACACTTTTTTATTGTAGAGGCATTTTGCATTTTATATAGTAATTTGTCCCTTGCTAAATGTCTCCTGTTTTATTATAGCCTTATATATGAAAAAAAAGGTAGCATATGCTTCGCCACATAATAATTGTTGCATTTAAATTGCATTTCCAAATCACTTGAAAAGCTGTACACACTTTAAGAGAAGGGAATTAGACTTTAAGAGAAGGGACTGTTTGCTACATTTCCTTATTCCTCTCACAATGCCTAGCATGAGACCTTTGAATACAGAAACCACTCACTCAATTATTGGGGAATAAAAAAGGAGAAAAGCATATAGGTTTCTTCCTAGGGATCTTGTATATAATGGTACACTCATTGAAAAAAAACTTATTCTAATCAATAAAAACTGAATCCCTCCACCATTACATAAAAATAAAAATTTTTTCTAGCATTCATTGTCAAAGGAAACCTTAACTGAGGTTGGATGGTGTTGGTACTAAGTGTCCTAAATCCAAAAGTGACTCCATTAGGTAGGTGCAGAGCTGGTGGACAGATAATGAGCTTGATAAACTGTGTACAGGTTTGTCATCTGGAGGAAACACATCATACCATCTTGAAACAGAGATATTTGATCATGTGACATGAGGATGTCTAGAAAAACAAAAAGAACTCCAGTATCAGTGATGTAATACCTGTCTAATTTGTGTGAAAGTTATTCAGTTTTTAAAATAACCTGAGATTTGGGGACCTTAGTTTCCAATAATTTTCTTGGAAAATTATGGCATTTTAAAATATGACTACTAAGATTTAGTTCAGTTCTTCAATTTTTATGACTTCACATCTTGTGTTACTGAATGTCAAAATATCTTTCACTTTTCCAGACCTCACACATCTGGCAAGATAGCCAATAACCTGGAAGCTCAATGATACAAAATAAATGTCACAAAGTCACAGAAGAGAGTAATACAGTGGTTAAAGAATGGCTTTCAGAATCAGATAGTCCAAGTCCAAACTCCACTCTGCCACATTCTGGCATGAATTTGGGCAAGTTACTTACCTTGCTGAGGCTTAGTTCCTTCTGTAAAATGGAGACAAAACTACCTCAGACATGCATATGAGGGCTTAAGGCATAGTAAATAAACAAATAAGTTTTATTTTTAAAGAAATGAACAAGCTTCCCTAAGAAAAGGTTTGGTTAAATGACACTAAGGAAGCCCACTGTCCTAAGTATGGCTGAGTTTCCAAGAAATAGGAGCAATGATGAGGAGAGCTAGGGTCTAAGTGTGCTTTTTCTCTCATTCCCTTGGGTTACTCAGTATCTCCTTTTGAACCATCAATGAATATCATTCTTCTCTCCGCACTGCACACTGGCCTTCTTGTTTCTTTTATCCACTTGGAATATGATCACCATAGCATTCTCCAAATGACAGCTTAGGCTTCTACGTCTACATGGACCTGTAGATTGGATTTCTGTAGCTAACTGACCCAATATTATAGTAAAACAACTCTAAATGTCTAGAGTTAAAATCTGATTGGTCCAACTTTGATTAGGTGTATATTCTTAATCTAAAGGGTCAACCAGCAAGAAGAGCTGCCACTTTCAGTGTGATACACAGGCTCTTGCCTGATTATTTGAATACAATTAGAGTGCACTTCACTTTTCAAAGAACCCACAGGGTTCTCACTCTTAGTTTACAGGCATGGTCCTCCTACATCACTCTATTCTTTATGTATAAATGGTAAAATGGAAGGGGGCTGCAGAGAGAGTGCAAGAGGGAGATACACTGATGCCAGATTTCTGGTGGGGCCATTCACCAGGATATCACTGGTCAGGGGAAGAGAGGAATCCTAAAAAAATAACAAAATGCACACACAAAAACTTAAAATACGGAACTTTCAGATCCTATAATGAAAGCCTGCATGGTTTACACGTCAGTGGTTCCAAGTGTTTCACACATACAACATCAAACCTGTGTGTACAAAGCTGTTTTATAATAATCCATAAAAGATCACATCTATTTAAAAAATCAGTAAACTATTGAAAAGTTATATTAAATTAAGATAGTGAACTCATTCATGCATTCATCGTTCAGTAAATACCTATTTATTTATTTATTTGTTTATTGTGTTTTGGGTTCCATTTAGAAGGGATACTAAAGAAGAAGGGGAAACAGAACCATGAGTCAGCAATTAAAACGGGGTGAGATGTACACTTTTGAAAAGCATTATGTGAGCATAAGAAATTGACAAGGGGAGGGCCTTGGAGATTTAACCTGAAAGTGAGGAATTTGGAGTAATTTTGGGGACAGAGGAGAGGAAGGGCATTGCAGACAGATGAAACAGCATATTAGGCATCAGAGAGATGTCAGCCAGCTGTAACCCACTGAGAACTTCAGCTGCCTCGAGTCAGGAAAACGGATGCATGGGTGAGGTGGGCTGGGCCAGAAAATGGGCAAGAGCCCCATTGAAAAGGGTCTTAAGGGACTAAGTTCATAAACTAAGGAATATGAACATTATCCTAAAACCCACAGCAGGCCCATGGATGACTTTTAAGCAGGGGAGTGACCCAAACACCTCTGTGCATCACAAAGTGTTCTGGAATATCAACAGACGTGAGGCGAATCAGGCTGTTTGTGGCAGCAATCCAAGACAGCTGCAGAGAAACAGTAGTTTCTGTAAGAATGCAGAGGAGGGGGTGTCTTTGAAGGGTGCCAAGAAGGGAGCATGGGTGACTTACAGATTTCTGGTGGGGCTGTTCACAGGGACAGAGAGTAAGGGAACGAGGGCCATGCATGTAGGCAGGGAGGATTTAGAATGAGATGAGTGTGGGTCTTCAAGTAGGAGATACCCCTCAAGCAATTGAAAGGACTGTGAATTATAGTTCATTTATGGATTTGGGGCCCAACAGCAGATGGGCAAGGGCCCCACAGGAAGGCTCAGGAGAGCAGGAGAGGAATGGGAGGCAGCAGCACTAATGAAGGCCAGGTGGGCGAGGTCTGGAAGTGCACAGAGAAGGAAGGCTGTAACAGCAAGTGAAAATCCTTTGCCTGTGAGGAAAAGGAGGTAGTGGCAAGATATGTCTCATGGCAAGAAGGGCCAAGAAGGAAGGACAATGAAAGGGTTCAAGAGTGTTGGGAAAAGGGTGCCATCAGGGATATAGCTTCTCTGGTGAGATGGGACTGGAAGCCATGTGGGAGGACAGGGTTGGTGGAAGCCAAGACAACTCTCCAAGAAGCTTGACTAGGAATAAAAGAGAGAAAGAGAGCAGTAGCTAGAGAAAGAAGTAGAGATTAAGGTGAGTTTTTTCAAGATGAGTGAGAATTGTTCATGTTTATAGGATGTAGAGCACCAAGAGAAAGGGGCTGGTAGATACAAGGGAGAGAGGGAGATTGATGGTGCGGGGTCCTGGAGGAGAGAGCGAGAAAAGGATCGAAAGCAGGTGAAGGGATTAGCTTCGGACAAGGGAAGGACAGCACTTTCACTGAGATAGGAGGAAAGAGTGGGGATGGATAGATAAGTCTGTATGTGGCAGGGGAGGAAATTGAGAGAGTTCTCGATTGATGGCCTCAATTTTCTCAGTGAAGTAGGAGGCAAAGTGATCAGTGGAGTGGTGTGGGGGAGGTGGTGGCACAGAGGGTGGTTTAAGAAGAGAGAATTCTTGGTGTATGTAACTGCTAAAAGCAGTGGGGACTGAGCTGGCAGGGGACACAGAAAGATTGGTAGGGAGTACTGAGCACTCAGCCGAGTTGGGAGAGTATATATCTGATATGTCTCAAACTCTCACAACTGTGACATTTTATCCCTTGGCCTTTACAAGTCTAAGCAGAGTAGCAAGAAATTGAATTGTTAAACTGAATCAGGGCTGAGTTTTTATGGTACAGGTCCACCTGTTCTGGGGACTTTGAAATCAGTCATCTGAAAGTCAACCCCACCTCTTTATAGAAGCTTCCTTAGCCGCTCAGCTCCACCCCAAGACGGTTCTCTCCATCCTCTGATCTCCCGTACCATTTTATTTGCAGATTGATTGTTCAAAAAACACTAAAACTGGACCCTCAATGTAAGAGTCCAGAAACCTGGGATTTGGTTATATTTCTAGCACCCCTAAGTTCTGAGGTCTTGGTTGGGTACAGAGTGAGCCACCAAGCAGTGGCTGTCATGACCAGTCCAACTGCCTAGGGACAGATTATTCTTATCTTTTCTTCCACATTCCTGTATCTATGTGCTTTCTACCTCTCCATGGGAGAAGGCATGAGAGGAGCAAAGATGATACTGCTGTATGTGGCTTTATTTTGGTGCAGTTTATCCAATATCCACCATTAAAGGAATCTTGTGAGCACTTATATTGGAGAAGGAAGAGACACTTTTGCTCCATAAAATTTCCTAAGGCTGATTTTACTTTTATAGTCTTAAAACCAGAGAGGATAGCGGGTCTAATCAGCTTGTCATGCCATGAAGGCAAATATTCCGAGAGGGAAAGCGTAGATCCTTTAAAGCCTGAGCTTTGTTATCTGACTGGGGTCAACAGAGACAGACCAAATCAACAAGCATGACATGAAGGGCAAATTTGCAATTAAAAGAAGAATAGGGAATTATAAAGATGGATGGGCCCCATGACATGCACACCCAAGCCTGCATGGCCTTGGCCTCGGATGCCAGAAATTAATGCCTTACTCTTTAGCACTCGTCACCTTTGGCTCTGAACAGAAAGGCAAATGCATTAAAATAACAACAATTAGAAGACTTACTTAGCTTGGAAGGCATTGTTGGTTCCCCTGTGGTCGAGGTCATGACACAGGCATCCCACAATCACCGCTAAAATTTCCACCTCGGTCAGAATCTCTTGAAACCCAGCGGTCTGGGAAGAGGGAAAATGGCAACAGTCACTACTGGGGACAGGGAGGATGGATAAGGTTAGTGGCTGAGCAACAATCGGCTGTTTCATACTCACATCGTTTAAGAAAATGATTAACTGCCACCCTCCTAAGTTGAGTGGTCAGTTGTACAGCTTAAGGTCCCCACAGTGATGAATTAGCTTGCTGTCACAGTGGTTCACATTGCCACACCAGAACAAAGTTCAAACTGCTTTGTTTCCGTCGTAGAGAGGAGACCGAACTATCCAGAGGCAGCCACAGTTTGGTGAAGTCTCAGAGCAAAATGTGTTTTGCTATTGTACATTTTAATGGTGAGCACCATGTGTAGTGGTAGAAGGATAAAAGGGGGCTGTGAATTTATTTTTTAAGATATTTTTACAGAGTACTGGGGTACCCTGTAACATTTATAAAAGTTCTTACAATACAACATAGTTGAATTCACCCTCTTCTAGCATTCTTCTTTATTCCTCCCTCCCCTATTCCTTGAATAATTTCAGTGGGTCTCATTTTCCCATTTTCATACATGTATACATAATATTTTTACTACATTCACCTTCCTACACCCTTTCCTTATATCCTTCTCCCTCCTACTGTACAAACCCCCAGACAAGACCTCAAATGCTATAGTCACTCAAATGAGAATAGACAAAAGAAAATAAAACCTTTTAGATTAAAAAGAACAACTTAGAAGTACTCAAATTGTTGCATGATGTTGTTCCAGAAGTCATCTTGTAAATACCTTCATTCAGATTGGGTTGTGGACAGATCAAACTCATATAGGTAATAAGTCTTGGAAGCTAGAATTTGACTGAGATTAGGCAACAAGATTGAGGAGCAAGGGATGTATACAATACTTTGGAATTCTTTTTTTCTGATCTGGTAGCTATGCTTGTGAAATGGATGGCTGTCATGTAACTTCTTATGGAAGCAGTTTGATATAATTATGGAACCAAGAGCAGCACTGACGTTTGGTTCCTGCTGATCCTTTCATTAGTTTACAGAGGAAGTGCACCTCTGGGAAAGCAGGTCTGTGCATTTTCTTGATCCAAGGCCTTTATCATCTCCCCCCTTTCCTTTTACCACGCTAGTCTCCCATTTCATTACTTACAAAAATCACTATCAAAGTGTGGGAGTGAAGATTCAAATTGCATTACTTTTCTTGTGCATTTCTTCCCCCAAATCTTCCATCTCTGGACAGTAACTGTTAGATACTTCTCTTAGAGCAATGAAAACTATATTTTGTAATTAGTTATGTTTTCTATTACAGAAATAACTGAATAATAGATTCCCATGTTGACAATTTTAAAACTTGACTTGGTTTCTCTGCTAAATTTAGAAATACATATAACTTTATTTATATAGCAAATGGAAATGCTAACAAGTTGTCTGGAAACATGAAATAGCTCATGTCAAAGCTTATGTGTGCCCTTCATTTAAAGTTTTGGGTTTGGCTGTTGATTTTTCTATCTAGTTTATTTAAAGTATTACTTGCAATAGTTTATTTTTTTTTAAATCAAATCATACTAAGAGACCTAGAATCAAAAAACAGTAGCACATTTTCCTTCCCCTTTCCTGATTCCCAAAGGTAACCACTTAAAAAAAAATCTAAATTAGTGGAGTTTTCACCTCATTTCTATTTGCACATGTTATTAGTACCTGGTTACTTATCAAATGTACCATAAGTTATCCTAAGAACTTTCAAGTGTTTAATTTACTTAATTCTTTTAAGTAAGAGAGGCTATATCCTGTGCCCAAGGGCTCACAGTTAGTACAGGGTACAGGACGACTCCAACTGTGCTTCCTCCAGTCTGTTCTGAAACATCAATGATGTCCTGGGGCAGGTGGGAGGTGATCCCTCACACCTCTCCTCACTCCCAATGCAATCCATGCCTATAAATATCACCACTTCTGAGCCAACTGATAATTGTTTCCTAGCTTATATAAATGTTTGCATTTCCTAGAGATAGGACTTAAAACATCTAAGCCTTTCATGCCCTACACTAATGTATACAGTGCCCATCAAAATAATTTTAAAGAGGGTCAAAAGTGCCACACCTTTTATTTGATCCTTGAGTCCTGGGCATGTCCTCACCATCACCGGGGCTTCCTCTTTGCTGGTCTGGGACTGATCTCTTATCTCCTGTATCCCATGCCTTTCTCTTTCCTCAATTTCTCCCTCTTTTTGAAAGAGCACAACTGCCAGAGGCCTCATGAGAAAGGATGTTTATTTTCTAACATCAGGGACTTTGTATGACTGAAAAAAAATCTTTATTCTTTCTTATCCTCAGTTGTTCATCTAACAATTCTAAGGTAAAACAGTTTCACTCAGAATTTGGAAGGATGGCTTTATTGTCTAGCTCCCAAAGTTGCTTTTGAGACTGTAACATGATTTTTGCTTTCTTTAAGGATCTCCTCTCTATACCTGGTGTTCATCAATTTCACAAAGATATACTTTGGTTTGGGACTTTTTTTCATTCAATTTGCATGGTAAACCTAATCTGGATGCTTTATTTTTATTTATTTATGTTTTGGTGGTACTAGTGTTTGAACTCAGGGCCTCATGCTTGCTAGGCAGGCACTGTAACACTTAAACCACATCCCAGTCTTTTTTTTTTTTTTGGCTTTAGTTACTTTTTCCAATAGGGTCTCCCAGGGTTTGTTGCCCAGGGCTGGTCCTCAGACTGTGATCCTCCTGCCTATGCCTCCCATGTAAATGGGATTGGAGGCTCTACTTCTCTACTTCTACAGTACAATGTTCTGCTAATGTTTTTGTAGTTGTCAATTTTCTCTTCAGCATCTTTTCTGACCTGTTTGAGTTGAATGATGGACTTCTTGTATTAATTTCCTTATTTTTAAAATCTCTTCTTTCTCATTTCCTATATAGACTTTTTCTTTTACTTTCCAGGAGTTTTTAAACTTATAAGCATTTTTTTCAGCTCCTTTTCTAATACCATACTGTTCTTCTCCCTTGAATGTATTATCTCTTTTCCTATCTCTCTGAAAACACAATTCTTCTGGTATTTTCTTCTGCTGCTTGAATTGTCTATTTCCTCTGAAGTCCTTTTCTCTATTTCCTTCAAATATCTTTGGTAGACTGCTCATATGTAAGAGTAACTCATGATGGGCTAGTGCTTTTGGGTGGTGGCTATAGGTTCCTGAGACTTAACACAGGGTAATTATGTAACCAGCTGGTATTTTGCTGGAGATCCCCAAATGTCAGTATGCAGACTCATTTTCTCTGGAACCTCAAATCTGTTGCCTGGGCATGGTGTAAATATGAATGTTAGCATCCTGAGAAAGGAGAGCTATGGTTTCCCACCTGGGATGCTGCAGGCTTTCAGTTGATCCTCTTATTTTCAGAGTGCATTTTACCATTACTTTTCTTTTGCTGGTGTCCTCAAGGCTGTGCTTCAGTTTCTCCAGCAAATGCCTTGATTACTGCACAGGTGTGGGTAAGAGCATCCCCTTGACTACATGGAGGGGAGATGGAGGTTTGGACACTCACTGTTTTTATCACTCCCTCATCTTACCTCACAGTGTTTTTGTGGTATCTGAAGCCTCCAGTTCCTGAATCTTGACAGGTTCTAGGTTGTCACTGTTCTCATATGTGTCCCTTCTTCCACCTCCTCAGCCCTGAAGTCACTTGGGATGGATCTTGCTCTTTTCTGCTAAGTTTTGAACCATTTCTTCTCTTAGTTTTCTGCCTTCATAGGTTATTATTCCAGGAAAGGGGAGATTTGTATCCATTTCTGTTCTTATTATTTGGGGGTGATTTTTCAGAGGAAAAATGGGATATGTGTGTTTCTTCTGTCATCTTAAAGCTGTAAGTCAGTTTTGTTGTGTTTGTTCTTGCTAATGTTAAGCAAATCCTAAAAGTCTATCAAGTAATCAATAATTATTATGATACTGTGAAAACAAGTATTTTAAACAATGGCACTGCATTGAAATTTAGGGAGATTTTGCCTGTGAAATGCTACTGACTAGAACTAGCTGATGAATCAGAATGGTAAGAATAGGGATAATGTTAAAATAGGGTAATTTGACTAGAAATTTAGTTAGAAGTTAAAAATCAAGTGCCATGCAATAGATTTAGGGTCAATATCCCAAATCATTTTAAACCATAAGTTAACACTTACTATATAATAGGATGGAACCTATTTTGCTGGAATTTTCTACAGTCCCCTTTTTTTCTATGCATCTGGCTCCTTAATTATATCATGGATAATTTCAAGAATTTGACGAAAGTCACGGACTCTGTTTTTAGAAAGTTTTCTATAATGTTATGGCATTCAAAGACTGCGGAGCCCATATCTGTATCATCAGAAGAAAGAATCGCTGAAGTATAACATATAACAGTCACACAAAACGTATTTACCTCTCCTGACGATGATACCTGAGTTACTGAAGCAGCACCTCTCTCTTGACTGTGATTTAAAGCTGCCTGGTAAATGGTTTCTGAGAATCATCAGGCCTGAAAAGTGTCCACCTGCCACTAAGTGTCCATTTGCACCCCCTCTGCACTCATCCATCTTCCTTCTGGCCCTGTCCACTCAGACCCACATTTACCAGAATTGAACAGAAAATATCAACTTCCTGCTGACAATAATGTACCTTCAAAAAAACCAGAGAGGCAGCAGGAAGTTTATGTTAATGCATTTATCCCAGTCTTGACTCTAGCATATTATTTTCAAATAAAATGACTTTTCTGCTCTTTACCCAATAATTCTGAGTTTTAGCAATCTTTACATTAATATATTTTCATCTATATTTCCTCAGGATATATATCAGAAATGTGAGCAGTGAATGTGATATATATACATATCTATCTATCTATATCTATATAGATAGACAGATAGATAGATGAGACAGTCAAGGTATAAAGACCTAGTTTCCAAGTCCCCCTGTTCAGAAAAGCCCCCGAGACTGGCCTCTGAGCAGGCCTTCGGGGACAGGCCGTCCTGGGCTGAATTGTTGGGGTAACTGT